GGGTAGACTGGACTGCCTCCAGGACCTGGGCCAGTAAGATTGCAGCTGGGACAGGACTTACTTCAGGGTCTGCAACAGTTAGGTTTGTGGGCAGCTGGCATGCTATTTGGTTTACAGACAGACAGTTGAGGCTCCTGCCAGGCCCCTTGGATGGCTTTTACCAGTTTACTGGGTAAGTTTCTGGGTGGGTTCCTGGACAGGGTGGCTTGGAATCAAGTTATAGTACTGCTTCAGAGTCTGTATCTGAGAGTGTAGCCTGTATGTCTGCCTCCAGATGTACGGATATGTATGCCACTTGCTGGGCTCAGGGGAGCCATTTTCTAGGGCTGCTTCAGGATCTGCAGTCTGACTGAAGTTGGTAGACCTGCTTCTTGGGACATGAATGGGTATGTCTTTTGGCAGGTCCCTGCAGATGGGGACCATTCTTGGTCTGCAACTGAGAGGGGCTGGAGTCAAGTTGCAGGGTTGTTTCAAGATCTGCTGTGAGATTGAGGTGGGCAAGTCTTCCTCCAGGGGCATGGGTCCTGGTGGGTCACAAGACTGGAGCTGGGTCACAGGCTGCTTCGGTGTCCTCAGCTGACTGTGGTCAGCAGGCCTGTTATCTAAGGGATGGAGTGGGGAGTGTGACTTCTCTTGGGTCCCTTGGCAGATGGTACTGCTGGCAAGACCAATGCGGAACAGGTGTGTATCTAAGTCCGTAGGAAGATGGGGACTGTTTTGGGGTCTTTAGCTAGTACCATGGTCAGTGAGCCCTACACCTGGGTGTAGACTTGCCTTCTCAAAACAGCCCTCTTTGGTCTTGAGCTTCACTGGATTTCAAACCTCCTACCTGGTTCCCAAAGCTTCTACAAAGGCACTTTTGTCTGTTGATGGCTGCCAAATTATAGTTGCTGTGGAGGGATATGAGTGGGAAACCTCTTGCTTTATCATCTTGCTGACCAATCTTAGGCTGAACTTTGAAGGAAGAAGGGGAGTTTTCCAGGCATAAAGGGTGGTAGAGCAGGGTATTCCAGACAGCTGGAAAAAATGTGCAGAGACTCAGAGGTATGCTCCAAACCATAAAGTCCAACCAAATTACATTTTCATTGCAAGAAATTTTGGTTCACATCCCTCCTCAAAATGTTATTTAACATAAAGGAATATTTTTGTTTATAAAATACCTCTTGTTTCACAGTTTAAATTCCTGAAGAGCAATTACCCTCAGCATCACCCTGTTTTTCTATAGAATTTCTTTCTTTTTTTTTTGTTTTTGTTTTTGTTTAAATGCTTTATACCAATATTCGTTTGCTGGCCCTTTAATGGTTGACTGGGGAGAAAAGTAGAGACCAATGAAAATACTTTGTGACATGTAATTCTGGTAACCTGTGGAGTTATTTTGATGAACTAGCCAAGTAGCTAACATTCTCCAAGTCAAATCAGAGAAATGGAACAGAGAGTAAGAATCCATACTGCCAAATAGGGGTAAATTCTAATCCAACTTACATCAGGTCTATTATGGGTTTGGAGAGAAGTCAAATCTTTAGACAATTATATCCAGGAAACCTAATCATCTTCAGTTAGCACCAGGTGCTGTAGCCCATAATATGTCATGTCCTATATAACACTTCAGAAATTGTTTAACTGCATCCAAACCTTCTGTCTCTCTTTTCCAGGACAGAAATAATATTTGCGATACAGAAGGAAACAGCCAGGCCATGGGGTAGTGTAATGGAATGCTGTTTTTTTTTAGAGGCAAAATGTAATATGTAAGAGATTTATCTGATTTTCAATATAAGCATTCTCTGATTCTGAGTTTAACTGATTCTATAAGCTAGGCCAATATCATTAGCTTATCATCAAACCATTAGGAAGGTGACTTTGGTCACATCACTAAATGTCTCCATGAAAACAAATGATGATTTCAACTACCATCTATATACTTTGCAAGTGTAGATGTCTAATTCAGATTTCTGTTCTGTAGTCTATGTGCACATATATTCAACTGTCAGATGGAATAGCTCAGTGGCAACTCAAGCTCAGTTTGTTCAAAATTGATTTTATTGCTGAGCAAACTTGGTCCTACTATTGTGCACAACCCATTTCTCCTAACTATAAACTGATAGGACAACAAGTTAGACATCTCCCTCATTCTTTACATGCAGTAGGTCAAGTCCTCTAGATTTTTCCTTCTAAGTATCTCTCCACTCCTTCTTTTAGTATTCTAATTCAGTGCTCCTTAATTTTGCATCTGGCTTCCTGTAGTAACCTCATAAATAGATTTATGGCCTTTTCTCTTGCCCATTTACAATTCCCTTCACCATGAAGCTAGATGAATCTTTAAGAAATGAATATCTAATCAAGGCACTTTGCTGCTTAAAAACCTTTAAATGGCTCCTAATTGCTTTCAAGATGAAATACTAACTCCTTAATGCAACATGCATTTAGACATTTCATGACTTGATCATTGTTTCTGTTTCTACCTTCATATATCCCTTTTCATCCTAAATCACCCTCTTCCTCTGCAAACTCTGCTTTTATAACTAATTTATAGTTAATGTCTATTGAGTACTCACCCTCATCCTGGAACTATGCTAAATGTTTTATATCAGTGTTTTCCAAACTTCACTGATGATGCATATCACCTGGGATCCTTGCTAAAAATATAATTCCTGGTCCTCATTCCAGACCCATTGAATCATAATCCTCAGGGAATGATCTGGGAAGATGTATTTTTTACAAAAGCACCATGGGTATGAGTTATCAGCCGAGAAATTTGAGAAAACACTACTTTACATGAACTTTCATTTAATCCTCATAAAAATGTAATGGGATAAGAACCGTTATTAGTTTCATTTATAGATAGAAATAATGAGGCTTAAGGGAAACAGTAACAGTTATTTGTCCAAATATTCATTATTATGGTTTGAACCTAGGCATACAACCCCAGAATTCACATTACATCGTAATCTATTTCTTTCACTTGTAAGTCAACACGTGCCATGTTTCCACTCTCAATTCTCTGTGCCTCTTCTGCCCTTTAACTTGGAGTCATTTCACCATCTTTGCCTGGAGAACTACTATGAACCTTTATAATTCAAATCAGACTGAAGGTTTTCTTAGCATTCCCAGTCTGGTTTGGTTGCCTTCCTGGAGGTCATTCTGTTAACATGGCACATTATAATCTATATCCTCATCTGTTCCCCTACCAGACTCTAAGAAGGTACATTTCAAGTCCTTTGGTATTCTTCTTTTAGCAGATGCCTGACATATATCAGATATGTGATAAGTATCTGTCAAATAAGTAGAAGTATAAGAAGTCACTTTAGCTGGGCAAGTGCCTTGGGTTTAGATGCTATGAATGGATGAATCTAGGGTCACTCCAGAAAATTACTTGTTTTTAGGTATTGAATGTTGTGTTTTAGAACCAGGCCATGCCTCTTGAATTTACTTGTTTTTATTCTGGTGCATTTTAGGAGGTATAGGATTGAGAACCCAACTCATTCCCTTTGTAGTTCAAAGGAATCAAATGCGTGATATACTACAGTAGACCAAATCAAGACCAGATGATAGAAAAGGACAATGAGGACCCCAGAAAGGGGCAGTGTTATAAGGGAAGGAGGAGTCTTGACTGGAGATGTGGACTTCATACCAGAATTCAAAGTGTCAGAGTGGTGTGCCCACATGGGCTAAAGGTGGTTTTCATCTAGACTCCCCATGCAATGGGCACACTTTGTGGAAATTGAAGTGGATGTGGAGCAAAAGTCAAAACAACAATGGAAGTAATATTTTCACTTGGTCTTGAGGCAACAGGTAGAGAGCTCTGCAATGGTGGCAATAATTAAGACTTTTTGAACAGGAAGCTTGATTAGGTCCAAAAATTTATGTACTACCAGGATTTCAGCAAATGGTAATGCTAAGTCTTCTTGGCAGGGGTAGAGAGAGACTGGATTCAATAAGAGTAGGACTTCCATTGCTGGCAATGACACCTGTGTTCCATCACTAGGGCAAGGCAGTGACTGTGGAGGAAGTTGGGACCAACGGGTAAAGCTGTCCAGAGATTTGCAGACATCATGTTATTCATAAGTAGTACATATCTCTTAGTTTTTCCTTTTCCAGTTGTTAGTCAAAAACAAGAAATGAGGAGATCTGATTCATAGACACATGGAAGCAATACTGACAGTGGTTGGGAGTATTTATTCGGGACAAGAGAAAATTAGACTAGGCTGAGCGCAGTGGCTCACGTCTGTAAGCCCAGCATTTTGAGAGGTCGAGGCCGGCGGATCACCTGAGGTCAAGAGTTTGAGATCAGCCTGACCAACACAGTGAAACCCTGTCTCTACTAAAAACACAAAAAAATTAGCTGGGCGTGGTGTCAAGCGCCTGTAATCCCAGCTACTTGGGAGGCTGAGGCAGGAGAGTTGCTTGAACCCGGGAGGTGGAGGTTGCAGTGAGCTGAGATCGCACGCACCATTGCACTCCAGCCTGGGCAACAAGAGGGAAACTCTGTCTCAAAAAAAAAAAAAAATTAGTGAGACTAGATTTTCTCTTTATTCGTCATGTTTCGATGTCATAATTTAGGTAGTAAAAGAAAATGTTGGAATCACTATATTGGTGAGGTCTGGAAATTTGGATAATAGAATTCTATAATAAAAGTGCATACAACAGATCTTTGGAAATATAAACCCTTTTTCCAAGCATGCTAAACATGGTCATGTGCAGTCTTGCAAATTGAGATCCTACAGGCAACAGGGTAAAAGCATGTTTTGAGACAAGTTTTATTTGAAACGAAAGGCTTATTTGAAGAAATGTTTCATTTGCTACAAAAACTATTTGTAGACATTCTGGAGATACTCATATATGGGCAAAAGAAATTAGAGTAGGCATGCAACAGAGCAGAAAAGATGCTTTATTTGCAAAAGAGTGGTGAAACATCTAAAAAGTTGACATTGTATATGATTACAAGGTAAAGAGTACTCTTGTGAGAGAAGCTACATGTTCATTGTTAAGGAAATTATATGTAAATGACAAAATCATGGTCTGTGAATAATGTGTCATATCTTACAAAATATACTCATTGGAATCTTACTAAAATTATCTACAGGAGACTTCAGTTTCCATTCTCGACCCTCTGCCTTAAGATACGAAGCCTTGACAGGACCACATCCCAGTCAGCATAAGCTCCTTCTAGATGGCGGGATATCTCAGTTCCTGCTTCATAGCTACGTCGGCCATGAAGTAAGCGCCAGTTATCAAAAGTAATCACGTCACCTAAAGAAAAGATTTTTTTCAGTATGAATAATTGTGTGTTTAAATGATTTACAGAGCTAGAAAATGTAACATGCAAAACACAGCTGCTACTTGGTTCACATCAAGAATTATCGCTTATTTCTTTACATGAAACTGCACATTTGCTTTTCCACACAAATCAGGCCACTGGATGCAAACTGCTTTAGGCCTTATGACAATTCAACTACCTAGCCTGGTAGTCTCCTGAAGGTACTTTAAT